GTACTTTACCATTGTAACATTTTCGGTGCCTTTTTCAAGAATAGTTTTGCGAGTTGGTTCCTGTAAAATGGGGGCATTTGTTTCAAACCATCATTCTGATTTAGAGCATTCAACAATCTAATTTTCAAAAGTAACGGAATTTTTTGTTAGCCTAGTCTATCACAGCTATTCCTATATTAGCTTTCGATTACTGCAATTAAAATGAAACTTCTGGGAAGATAAATTGATTATTGAATTATTTGATTTATATTTAAATGTCCAAAACACTACTGAAAACCAACGACTACTGAAAACTAACGAATAGAATTCAAAAATGCGAAAACGAGGCATTGTTTACGACCACGCTTGAAAATCTGTCAAAGTGGGAAAAGTGTCTGAGCGGATACGTTGTTACGTCACTTTTGCATATTGCTGATTGGCCAATGTCACGAAGTAAACTGAGTCGATGCTTGGGGTAACATCCATTCGATTTATATATTCCTATTACACATTTTTCGTCTAACTGACGTCCTCGACTTAATTTATGTTTTCCAAATTGTATTCAATCAACACAACAACAAAAAAACAGGTTAGTTTTTCGGATTTTCCACGTTATCAGCATTTTATATCCAATTATGCTCATTGCGCTATCTGCTATCTTATTTATAAGAAAATATGGTGTTGCTGACACAATGGACCTTTCCCCGAGCATCGACTTCCTTGTTTACTTCGTGACATTGGCCAATCAGCAAGATGTAAAAAGTGACGTAACAATGCCCCCTTTTCGCATCCGCTCAGACACTTTTCTCGCTCAGACAGATTTTCAAGCGTGGTTGTAAACATTACCTCGTTTTCGCGTTTTTGAACTCTATTCGTTAGTTTTCAGTTGTGTTTCGAAAACTTAAATAAAAATCAGATAATTCAATGATTACTCTGTCTTTCTAGGAGTTTTAATTTAATTGCAGTAATAAAAATTAGTGTAGAAATAGCTATGATAGACTAGCCTGAAATTCTTTACCGGTACTCTTAAAAAACAGATTGTCGTATGCAATGAATCATAATGATGGTTTAAAAGACGTACCCGATTTTACAGGCGCCTACTCGCAAAAGCACTTTTGATATAGCCCCGAAAATGTTGCAACGGTAAAGTATAGGAAGAATTTTCCGGGGGTCAAAGGTTGGGGAAATCTCCATAGGGCTTTCGCGGCAAACGGATAGCCACACGGTGGCGTCAGTGATCTAATCTATTTTGGACTACTCATGCCGCGCTTTCCGCAACGTTGTATGTTGAAAGCGTGCCGGGAACATTCCAAATTAATTTCCGATTAATTCCAAATTAATGACTAATTTTGATAGGCAAAGAATAACACTTGATTAAATTTTGGATGATTTGCTACAAAAATCGATAATGAGTTGAAAGTAAAGGAAGTTAGATTGTCTTTATTTGGGTTTGTCCATATACCGTAGCCTACATGTTTGCATAACGTAGACAGCGAAAAGGAAAATCCTAGTACTGTAGTAGCATGATGGGTTTTCGAATTTTCTGTCCAATTTTTTGAAATCTTCTCTTTTTTCATGCTAATATAAAATAAATAATTGTATATGTACATTATAATGATATGCTTCTGATTGAATGTCGACAATGTTCAATACAAAAGGCAGTACAGCACACTATCCAAATTCCAAGAATTTCCCTCCATTTGGCTTAATAAAACAAACACTCCATGTGTCTCACAAACGAGGGGCGTCTGGGACCACATCAGATGCTGCATATCGCGCCATGCTTGTCTCAATAATAATCTAAATTAATCGCGGCCGTCGCATGACCAAAATTGCCGTTTTTTGCTAAAAACTCTCTAATGCTACGGTAAAATTTGTTTTTTCCTTCGGTAAATCGGATTATTTTTTCTCAAGGAATTCAATGATGATGTTACTAGATTGCGTTTTTTTTTAGTATTTTGCGCAACTTCTTCATACTGTATTGTTACCGATATTGAGGGACAACAATGTCCAGACATCTCCCAAAGGAGGCGTGTCTGATCATCTGTAAAATGGGTTTCTCTGAAACGGGACAATATCACCCGATTTGTAGGGTGGCTTACCCACTTTGCGGCCATGACCTATCTGCGACCATCAACTTCATCGATTAAATTAATGCCGAAAAAATTAACGAAACGCGCCGATATTTCTCACGCGTTATCGTCCACTTATCCCTCGTAGCTCTACGAAATTACACTAAAATGCGGCCACAAATAAAAAAGTTATGCCCAAAAACCTGACCGAAGAAAAAAAACGGACCATTTTACCATGTCGCCAACTACCCATTGTTCCTTCAAAAAAGCTTGAAAATCCATACAAATATAAGAGATAAAGAGATGAAACTTGGCAGGTGGGTAGAGTTGTGTTTCTTTTACCCATCTTTAAAGTTTCGCGTTTCTATCTTCAAAGGAGGGGGAGTAGGGGGGTGCGCATTTCCAATACGTCAATAATATCTTTGTCAACTAATTTGCGACCACCGTGTTTTTGTCTGTTTGATTGCTGTGATGCGGTGCTTTGTTTATAATTTGAAGAATTTTGTTTGAAATAATCGTGTTCTTAAAATATATGACGGTCAGAAATGCAATTAGAAGCCCTTTTTTTCACGCATGGCTGCGTATGCCCTAGTCTCGACGCAGCAGAAACGATGTTCAAGGCTTGAAATCCGTGGTCGCACACTGGTCGTTCGGTCGCAAATACGTCTTCAGAGTGTCGTACTTTGGTGGTTTGTATAGCTTTAACCCCTGGTCGTAGAAAGTTAATTCGAAGTTCAGCGTGTAGAATAAATGCCAATGCACCTACGGTGAAAAAATTAACGGGTTAGAAATATTGGTTTTTGTTTTATAGCGGTTTGAATGAAATCGTCCGCAGACTGGCTACACCACCCTATAGTGTGCCGTACTGAAAGGATATAGGCTATGACGAATACTGGATTATCAACATTCTGACATTGGATAGCCTATCATATGTAAAATTAATTGTTTATACAACTGTTTTATTCCTCTTCAACTAATCGGAACTCAATACATGCAAATGTACTCCAAAAAATAATTGTATAAAAAAAAAATTGGCCTAAATTAGTTCGCTACTGCTTCTGTGCTTATACTGGTATATCTGTATATAGTCTAGTGTAACACTGAACAAAAATTTCAGAATGTGATGTGAAATGTTTAAAACTTGATTAGAAAGTTAATCAAGTTTTGTGTTATAAATTGCAGATTTAAGCTGCACTTCTGTGATAAATAAAGATCTGAAAATTGTACGAAATGTCGCTGTATCATTCTAGAAATGAAAAAATGCAGTCAAATGGAACACATTTTTTATTTCACAAATGTGATACAATACTGCTATACCAACAAAACAGTAAATGGGTTTATTTATATTTTGGGATTGATAAAATTCAGGGATAGCCAAAATCGAATAATTAAGTATTCCGAACAGATTATTAAATAATATTTTTGAATATGAATTATTGAATATATTCTGAAATGGGTCTGTTTCACAAGAGAAATGCTTCAAGACTATTCCACTATTGTAAATTCATGAAAATTTTAATTTGTTTATGCAGAATAATTGAGATAAGCATTGTTTTAATCAGTTTTCTCTATTTTAGGGTGGTCCAAGTTGTCGCCTTCGTGGGCCACAAAATTATTTTTGCATTGTTCCCGGGCCACAATAGTGTCAGAAATAGGTAAACAGGGTTCTCAAGGCAGGGTTCTCAAAGCAAAATCCCTAAAAATTTGAAAATGCAATTTTTCTGACTTTTCTGTAATACTTTAGGCTGGTTGCAAAAAATCACTATATGGATTATATTCTCAGGCCATGTAACATTGATATTTATTTATTATAAGTTCATAACTGTTGGAATATATTCCCAATCAAAAAGATATAAAGCCAGTGAACAATTTGGAATACCCAAGCACAATATTCCACTTCGCTAGATGCTCCAGCTAGCCGTGACACTAGTCAATTTAGTGATGTAGCAAGATATCGAAAAGATTTTCTGATTATTTTTATGACGAAACAAAACCAAATACGATTTTTTGATTACCCTTCAGCAAAGGCGACGCGGGCCACAGATAATTACGCTGTGGGCCTGGGTTTGGATTGGACCACCCTGCTCTATTTTATTCTGTCAGAATTAATTTTTGTCTATTATAAAATAATTAAGTCCATGCTTCCGAAAGCAAATAGCTGGCTAACTAATCCCATACTTGCCAGGCCAGGTAACTGGGCGAGAGGCCGTGGTTTGCCATAGGATTAGGCCATCTTATCGCCTTTTCTCTTCCCCGTGATAAATATGTAAATCTTATCCTATCCTAATGCTTGAAAAGACATTTTCGAATAAATATATTCTAAATTGGACCTAAAATCAAGAATTTACCAAATCAATCATAACCAATTTTTCGAATATTCGATATGTTTTGAACATCCCTGGAAAAATCATGTAATTTTAAAGTTTAGGTGCAGGGAAGAAGAGTTGAAATAGATTTTTAGTGTTCGAAATAATTGCTCAATGGGTGTTTTTTTAAGATTCCAAACTTGTCGGAATACCTAACTCTCTTGTTTGTTTCATAAATTTTAAAATATCATGATAACTGGCTGACTTTTATGAATTTGCCATTTAGAATCTTAAATAAAATTCAACTGTGTTTAACTTAAAGCAGAAAACCTTTCAACATTTCATTAATTCACTGTCTAACTCTGCCAAAGTAGAAGTGAAAATTATTTTGTGTGGTATTCAAGGAGACCCAACTTTTTTGTATATACCGGTAAATGTAATAGCCTATTATAATATATACAATAAAATAATGGCGACTGTTTCATCGATATCAGTTCTACATTATCATGGTTATCGTTTTCTAATACGAAGTGGAATATTTCTTAATGTTCAGGCTAATCACATCACTTCATTGAAGTTTTGCTCCCATATTTATCACCGACAAAAACATTTAACGACATTTTTCAATCTGATATTTTTGTAGATTTTGAATCAAAAACATTATCATAAAGCTGTTTTTAAAAGAAAATCGATAAATATGGCTTCAAAACCAAACAATGAATCAGATATATCTGAAAATTCTGATGCAGAGGAAACTGAAGAACCCGTGGCACCACCTGATTCTGCATATGCCAGCAAAATGGCTCAGGATCATGGAAAACGGTTTGACTTTTTGTTGCAGCAGACAGAAATTTTTGCTCATTTCATGAATCCCAATGTCAAGACCAAATCACCTACGAGCCCTCTGAAAATTCGTGGACGACCCAGACTAACTTCTCGTGAGTCTGTGTCAGGTTCGTCAACTAGTGTAAATGCAACTGATCATCGTCATCGTAGAACAGAACAAGAGGAGGACGAGGAACTACTTTCCGATGCTAGAAAAACACAAGGAGCGATAACAAGATTTGAACAATCTCCTAAATACATTCAAAATGGTGAAATGAGAGATTATCAAGTCAGAGGATTAAACTGGATGATATCATTGTACGAAAATGGGATCAGTGGTATTCTCGCTGATGAAATGGGTCTGGGAAAGACTTTACAAACCATCTCCTTGTTGGGCTATCTCAAGCATTACAGAAATATTCCTGGTCCCCATATGGTGATTGTACCAAAATCTACTCTTCAAAACTGGGTGAATGAATTTGAGCGTTGGTGCCCATCAATCAAAACGGTATGTTTAACAGGAAACAAAGATCAGAGAGCTGCGATCATTCGTGATGTTATGATGCCGGGAGAGTGGGATGTTTGTATTACATCATATGAAATTGTAATTCGTGAAAAGGCTTGTTTTAAACGATTCAACTGGAGATATGTTGTTATTGATGAGGCACATAGAATTAAGAATGAGCAGTCAAAGCTCTCTACCATTGTTCGCCAATTTCGCAGTACAAATCGACTTCTGTTAACCGGTACACCACTGCAAAATAATTTGCATGAATTATGGGCTTTACTCAACTTTCTACTACCAGATGTTTTTAATTCTTCTGAAGATTTTGATTCCTGGTTTTCTGCAAATAAGCTAGATGACCAGAAGTTGGTTTCACGTTTGCATTCTGTATTGAGACCTTTTCTTTTAAGAAGATTGAAAAGTGATGTTGAAAAAAGCTTACTGCCGAAAAAAGAAACCAAGATTTACATTGGTTTGAGCAAAATGCAAAGAGAATGGTATACAAAAATTCTAGTCAAAGATATTGATGTCATCAACGCCGCAGGCAAAAAGGATAGAGTTAGACTTTTAAATATTCTTATGCAGTTGCGAAAATGTACCAATCATCCATACCTGTTTGATGGGGCAGAACCTGGACCACCTTATACAACAGATGCGCATCTTGTTGTCAATAGTGGAAAAATGGATGTTCTCGATAAACTTCTTCCAAAATTTCAAGCGCAAGGAGATCGTGTGCTGATCTTCAGTCAAATGACGAGAATGTTGGATATTCTAGAAGATTATTGTATGTGGAGGGGATACAATTACTGTAGATTGGATGGTCAAACACCCCACGAGGATAGACATCGTCAAATCAATGAATACAATATGCCTGGTAGTGAAAAATTTATTTTTATGTTGTCAACTCGTGCTGGTGGTTTGGGTATAAATCTGGCAACAGCAAATATAGTAATTTTATATGACAGTGATTGGAATCCTCAAGTTGATTTACAAGCTATGGACAGGGCACATCGAATTGGTCAGAAAAAGCAAGTGATGGTATTCAGATTGATTACAGAGAATACAGTGGAAGAGAGAATTGTTGAACGAGCTGATATGAAATTGCATCTGGACAATATTGTTATCCAACAGGGTCGACTGGTAGCTCAGAGTCAAAAACTTGCCAAAGATGAGATGCTGAGCATGATTCGACATGGAGCAAATCATGTTTTTGCATCTAAAGAAAGTGAAATCACAGATGCTGATATTGATGCTATTATTGCTGTAGGAGAAAAGAGAACAGAAGAAATGGAAGAACGACTGAAAAATCTTGGCGAAAGCGGACTTCGTAAATTTACGTTGGATGACACAGAGAGCCCGTACTCTGTTTACCAATTTGAAGGCAAGGATTGGAAAGATAAAACAAAAGAAGGTGGCTTACTGCCTTGGATTGAACCACCTAAAAGAGAGAGAAAGGCTAACTACGCCGTTGATCAGTACTTCCGAGAAGCCCTGAGAACAAGTGAACCGAAGGCACCCAAAGCCCCAAGGCCTCCAAAGCAACCTACAGTTCAAGATTTTCAGTTTTTTCCTCCCCGATTATTTGAATTGCTTGAGGCTGAGATTTTACAGTATCGTGCTTCTATTGGATACAAAGTACCCAGAGATCCAGATGGAGATATTGAAGCTGAAAAAGATCAACAACGCCAGATTGATGAAGCATTGCCGCTCACTGAGGAGGAACTAGCTGAAAAAGAGAGTCTTCTGCAATGTGGATTCACCAACTGGACAAAGCGTGATTTCAATCAATTCATCAGAGCTAATGAAAAATATGGACGTGATGATATTGAAAGTATCTCCAAAGAAGTGGAAGGCAAGACGCCACAAGAAGTTATAGAATATTCCGCAGTATTTTGGGAGAGATGCAACGAATTGACTGACATTGATAAAATAATGGCACAGATTGAAAGAGGAGAAGCTCGCATTCAGCGGAAAATTAGTGTCAAAAAAGCTCTTGATGCAAAAATTGCAAGATATCGAGCCCCATTCCACCAACTTCGTATCCAGTATGGAACTAATAAGGGAAAGAATTACACGGAAGAAGAGGATAGATTCCTTATTTGCATGCTGCATAAACTTGGACTTGACAGAGAGAATGTTTACGATGAACTACGCGTGGCAGTTCGACATGCTCCCCAATTTAGATTCGATTGGTTCATAAAGTCCAGAACGGCAACAGAACTTCAGCGAAGATGTAACACCCTTATCACATTAATAGAAAGAGAAAACCAAGAACTGGAAGAAAGAGACAAGTCATCTGGGAAGAAAGGGAGGCAACGGGGCACCAATACACCAGGTGGAGGATCAAGAGCATCAACCCCTTCTTCTGTTGGTGGGGGCTCCCAGAAGCGAAAACTTGATACTGGAATATCGAATTCTGGTAGGAAGAAGAAAAAGGATTAAATAACTATGTTCCCGATTTTTATACTGGGCTTTTTTCTATGTTTCAGCTGTCAAAACCTGATTGTCCGCTTTGTTTATCTCAATTACACTATTTGTTCAGGCATGCCCGACTTTCCACATGGGTAAAAATGACAAATGTTAGGTTTGAATACATTTATCATTCCAAGGCAACTGTATAAAAATGTTTTCAACCGAGCTTGGCCATGGATAAAATATCAACTCCTTATTCTCTATTCCAATGCTGGCATTAATGAATTTCAAAAAAAAATCCATCACTAATTATTCCATTTTTACCATTTGTAAATAAATAACATTGGTTTTTCACAACTTTTTGTTGATTGTAGTAATAGTGTCTGTACCTAAAAAATAAAATAAAGACTGCCATCTTTTTTTGCCTTTTTCTTTGGACGATCTGGAAAGTCAAACTAGCTTGAGGTAAGAATATTTATCAGTGAATTGGCATTTCTTAGAAATGTTTTTTATGTGAATCTGTCATGCAGATGGAACTAAAAAGAAACTTGATGCCAAATTATATTATTGTGTTTGTCATGAATCAATCAAACACACTGAAATTTGTTTGCAGGAAAATTGGAATGAATTTTTTGATCTTGATTCCAAATTAATAGTTTTAAAATTGAGGCAATATGATAAAATTTGAGGTATCATTTGATTGTTTAAATCAGGGGCCGGTAACCTTTTGCTAGTCACAAGTCAGATATGCAACTTTTTTACGGGTCGCAATTGGAAAAGAAAAACGATGTTCTTTTCGCATTGCTAGAACGCCGCATATCATATAATTTTGCCAAGTCATTTTAGGTATACATTATTAACATACGAACTGAATAACCAGGGGTGAGAAAATTTGAATATTTTTATTCAACTATTTTTAACGAATATGTTCTAATCTACAATGGTTCGATCTACGCTGATGTCAGTTTTAATATATTTCTTGTAGAACCGTGCGTTCAGTCAAACACCGCGAATGTTAAAATGATTATCGACGATAGATGTTAAAAGCAGTGATGTAATTCAGGCTTTCGCAGCTGAAACAGTATGCATATTCTATTTGATATCTATATTGATAGCCCGTAATAGAAATCAACTTCAATCATAATCGCAAGTTCAGTTTGCTGTAGTAAATGTCAAAACTTGGATTTACACGTGTGTTTTGGTATGCAAACCGAATCTGTCATTCATAGGTTTTCGCAGCTGAAAAAGATCGAATATTGTCTGTTGATGAAAGACGAGGTCCTCTGAATTTTTTTTTTTATTTACGTTGAAATGCACAATTGTGCAAAAGTGTTGTATTTGTTCACATTTGATCTGACTCGCATTCAAAAGTCGTTTACTAGGTAAGCGGCCATTTTTTGATCACGAAAGGGTGGTACGCGCTGGTCGACTTCCTCCTTGACTCGGGTTCATACATCTGGAACGATACCCTTTCACCTTAGCTATTACTATGCCTAATAAGGATTGGCTGGGCACGTTTATCATGCCCCCGTGTCGAATCCCTTTGTTTTTAGACACGTATTGGACATAGCGATCGTTTTGTTGTTATGTTGTCCTTATTTTTGTTGTGCTTTGACACGTTTTGAAGAAATCGCTTTTCTCTTTGATTACTGGACCAATTGCTTTGAAATTTTAGTGGTTTAAGATAAAAATTTTCTCCAGAAGGCTATCACTTTTTTTGTTGTTGCTATGACGTCATCAAAATTATTGCCATTGGGTGGCGCTACGTGTCCATATATTTGAGCATAGCTCTCTTGTAGTTTTTGTCATTGACCTTGAATGTTGATTGATATTCACCATCACCTTGATTGTCTTCTTTTTCAAAAGCCATGGGTTATTAGTTATGCTGCATATTTTTGCTGATCCAGTCAAAATGACACATGGGTATTTTAAAATTATTACTTCAAACATAAAACAGTGCTAAACGGAAACTATTGCTTCCTTATTGTTTCTAACTGTGCAGAGAACAAGACCTATCAGAAAAATTACTGGGGTTCATGCAGATAAAAGTAGACAGAAATAATTTTTGCATATTCTTTCCAACAAATGCCCAGAATCTAGGTATTTTTAGTAGAAAAATGCGTGCAACATTTAGTTGTATTTGTAGCCTAGGTCAGGGCTACTCAACTATTTTCACCAAAGGTCCGTTTACGAAACTTCAAAATTACTGAGGTCCGGACATTACAGAAAATTTATTTCATCAAATAAACGAAACTTCAAATTCAATATTAAATTAAATACAAGAGCAATGAATGGCTCGCAAATATGGACACAAATATCGCACATCGGTACCAGTACGACAAACTGTATAGCTGTGTATTTAAATTGTATCAAAATCATTTAAAACTATAAAACGATGCTTATGCTGCTAAAATAAACAAGCAAACGCGGTCCAAATTTTATGGTCGAAAGGCCCGGATTCGGACCGCAGTCCGCCAGTTGAGTAGCCCTGGCCATAGGTCATGTGACCACGTCACGTTTTGGCTTTCTTCACAAAATTAGGACACTCGGGATTTGTTGGATGTTTTTATGCTAGAGTGCTAGACAATATTATTGTTTCAGTACAGTGCCATTGCAGTTATTTTAGCATTTATACATTGTGCTGCCTCGTAGGCCTACTTGTCGCTTTATTGTATGCTTTCCGTTTCATTGGAGTGTTTGGTTGTATTAATTAATTGTTTGATAATTAATGAATAGAGCAAAATAGCATAAATTGAAGTGAATATTGACAGGAAACTTGACGTCAGATCATATTGGAAGATATTCAGAACTTGAATAACCATTTCATAGACTGCCGGTACGCTACAATATATTAGGTCCACCCGGAGTAAGCAGAGGCTACAACTACATCCTGACGTGTGTAGATCGTTTCTCACGTCGGTTAGATTGCATCCCATTGTCTGATATTTCCGCTGAAAGTGTTGCCAACGGATTTGTATATTGTCACAAGTTAAAGAATATTTTCACTGTGAATATAGATGAATCAGAAGACTCATGAGTTCCGGATTGGTTGTTTATTGTACGGCAACTCCAAAATTACAAACATATAACAGTCAAACCAAACGCGCAAATCGCATGCTGAAGAATGCCCTTCGAGCTATGGAAAACCGTGAAGATTGGTATGACAATTTCGGATTTGTGTTGCTCGGCATTAGAAGTGTCATCAACTAAGATCTAGGCTTGTCCTCAGGAGAAATTCTTTACGGAGCACACCTTCACCTTCCTGGTGAGCTCGTAGACCCTCGTCCAAATCAAACCACCATCGAACCGTACAATTATGTCAACAAGATGCGCAGATTCTTCAACAAACTACATGGTGTGCCGACTCGAGAGCAGCTTCCTAACCAAGTTTATATCACGAAGGAACTCAGTAGTGCAGTACACGTCTACATTCGTGTAGACTGTAGATTCTACGAAAAGAGCACTTCAGTCTGTCTATATTAGACCACATAGGCTTATTTCAAGGTCCAATAAGTCTTTTACGGTCGAATTCAAGAGAATCTCTTAAGAGGTATCAACCGATCGCCGGAACCCGGCTTTCCTCCCGTTTTGTGATTCCGAGACGACTACAGCTGTCCAATTTCCCCCTTCTCCGCTGGAATCGCAGTTGAAACCAGATAGCGAACTGAGAGAAAATCCTCCCATTTCGATTAATAACGTGGCTATTTATTTTCTTGTATATATCTACCCCATCAAAGAATATCACCGTATGATTTGTTTGTTCGTAGTAATTATTTTTGTCTCACTTATGTATTTCATTATGTTTTTCCATCGTTCGTGTTAACCACTTGTCCTATCACCCATGCCTGCCAAAAGTTTTGTCAATATCCTAACCAATTTAACATATGTACATTTCGTAGTTGCTGTAGTTTCTCTCCACACATCTTTCAAAATTTCCGATTATGTTGTGAATCTTTCCATGTCATCAACCCCAAAATACTCAACACATGATGTGATGCATTAACTTATCATTACATTAGTGGTGTTTCCCTTTTTACAGCCCCAGTAGTGTCACTATAAGGTGGAACTCCCTGGGCATAATTTCTATTTTTTTTTACCTGTGTTCACTTCCCACTGCTCAATTTTGTATATATATTTATCACTAGGAATGATCTTCTGTTTACAGCCCGTGATCGTGTCTATAAGGTTATTTATTATTCCTGGGCACAATCGCAATTATTTTTTCTACCTTTTTCATCCTGCACAGCTCAATTTTGTATATTTTTGTGTTCAGTGTTTTCCCAATTTCGTACTGTTTTAACGTACGTGCTGTATCAAATCGGACGATATTATTTCATATTTTAATGAGTATATTTCGCTGTAAAGCTGTTTTCGTCTGCACTTACAATGGCATTTTATCTCCAAATTGCCAACAATAATTATTTCTTGTTCACGTCAATGAACACACCAAATGTTGAAGTTTCGGCTTATCCAAGCGATTGAACTCCATTGTGATTTCCAAAAATACTGTTTCTTAGCTAACTACTTTTCATTCGTATTTTAAATGAATTGGAATGGTAGTGAAAGTTTTAATATTAACTAATTATATCCAGTTGCATACCCCTACAGTCGCGATAGTGTTCACTCATGTGCCTGTGCAGTCACTCTCAACACATCGCACACGACACGACGACAATGTTTTTTGCCTATACTCTTATTTTGAATATTCACTTCATTTTTATCACTTATAATGTACAACCTATTTTTAGAGTGCTCGCTATTATTCATTGTATCGCATATATGTATATATATAGAGAGAGTAGTGGGGTGCAAAGTTGCGTTCGGCGCCTATCATCTTTTCAATTGTTTATTTACTTTATATTCCCCGTCCACGAAGAGCTTACGAAGTGGGGAGAATTCTTATAGCGACACCTAAGCCCAGGTCATGTGACCCCCTGACGCGCTTGCCACGTTTTGGCTTTTGGTTTTCTTTACAAGATTAGGACACTGGACACTCGACTTCGGACTCTCGGACATCACGCACCTCAACCAACCAAGTAAAGTTATTTTACCGTTTTATCTATCTTATACTGTTTTATCGTTGATGATTTTATTACAATATACTAGGATTTTATACGTTATTAGAGACTTTTAAAGCGGACACAAAAGGAAGCGCAGTCTCGGCACGTAGAGTCTAGGAGACAATATCATCAAACCTATAGAGAAGGGAAGAGATTTTATTATTTCGTCAACCAAAAAATACGGTCATCAATAATATAGCAACAGCAAATAAAATTGTTATGGTATGGACAGGTGGTAACGATACGACCGTGCGGTCATCGAGGTCAGCTCCCACCATATACGCTGATTAATAGATTAATATTATAGTTATTTTAACCTACAAGATCATCCTGGATTTACTATTATAAATATCCATGGTTAAAATATGACACATGTTTCATGTAGAACCACCGACTTCATGTTTAAAATAATATCGCGCTACATTAAAATAAAAATGAAACGCCTGTAACGATAGTTTTCACCAAACTTTAATTTTTTTTTATTTGTCGTTAGTTTACTATCAATGGCTAAACAACAGTTTATTCAAGAAAATGAAAAAATATTGCTGTTGTGTGTTGTAGCTTACTCATTTCTAAAAAAAAAAAACAGTCCCGAATAAAGCCAAAAATATCCCACCGTAAAATCGCCTTATTTTTCGCACGTATAATACACCGTGTAAGTTGTCAAATGAAGCTATATTCACAATTAGTCTTTAACATCTGTTCTTACATTTAGCCCACGTAAATTTTATGCCATGTCACTCTCCTCAATAGGTATTTCTGAAAGTAGGATGGTCTTTCCACCAACAATGAATGCGGGATTGCTTATAACTATCTCCCATGTGGTAGCTTCAGATATATTTGTCTTCATCTTCAGATCTTTGTCATCTTCCGGTACGTGGACGTATTTGTTGTTGCATTGAAATAGAACTCCCGATCCCGATTGGATAGATAGAAAATTTCTGGGTTAAATGAAAAATTTCTTTTTCACAAAAATGATCCATACTTTTACTATTTGTTAATTAGTTAATTACCGGCAAAATATGAATACCTACGCATATTACTGGGTTCAAAAATTAGGTCTTGAGTGATGTGACAAAGTCCCGACACAAACTGAAGAATGTGACCAGCGCTGGGTATAACCGTCCAGTTTTCTGTGGCACTGGTCTGTATTTGTTGAAGATGGTGAAAATCAATAGGACCAGAAGATTTCCATTTCTTGGATTCACTTCCATGTTTAATCTGTGCCGTATAACTTGACGGTAGGCTGAAAAAGAAACATTATATTCATACTTTGAACAAAGCCAATATAGATGAACGAAATGTAAATTATTCTATGCTGCTCCAACATTATGTGTTGTTATTTGCGTCGAGTATTCAGATTAAGGACGTCGTGGTGTTTCGTTCAACATGTCATAGGTTAAAAAGAAATATATATATATCTTGCTGCACACGAACACAAATATATTTCTGTAACGTTTCGTCTGACCGAGGTCAGACTTCTTCAGACAAGCATTTTACAACCATAACAAAAAACGCAATTGCATGCACATAAATATATATTGGTTTCAAATGTTGGGTCTGTTTGCGATAGAGAGATATAAATAAAATTGGGACAGTGCCAGAACAATAGGGAAGCTAAATTTGATTTAGAATCAATAGATACCCCACAGTGTAGTGAGTGAGCTCAATTTGCAATACTTGGCAAAGTCAAACTAATTATTAAGTAAAACTAAACAAGCAATAACCTATGCTTTAATGTATTTTCTGCTTAAACGTTTACATAAGACACGTAAAATTTCAATTCAATTGTTGTCGCTAAGGCGTTTGCGATTGCATTTTGTTTAAATCTCCATTGTTTACGTCAGCGTGGCGTGTTATTTAGGCCCTAAAAATCTTGATTTCAGAGTTTATTCTTCCTAAATCCGAAATTTCCCTTTACATATTCTTGTGCCGCGAAGACGATTATAATTACTTTTTTTGTTCTCGAATGGAACCATGACACCTCTGAGGAAAACGAGTTAGTTTTTATTATAATCATCAGCGAGAAGAATAAAGAAGTGAATCCGTAACTAAAAATTTCTTTATTGTAAAAGAGGCATTATAAAATACTAAAAATAAAAGGGAAAACGCCATGAGTTTTTGTTTTGGGGTGGACCGCGACAGATTGAAAACACTTGCTTAGACATTGAAAATCTCATAAATTCCTTTGCGTGCGGCACACCAGTAGTGTTCTAAAACTACAGACTTGATATAAATTTTACTCCGGAGCGGAGTAAGGGTTGCATGGACAGCCTATATTAGTGAAATTGGCAAGAATACAAATCAAAACAAAATGTAATCAACATTTTTATGGTTGCGGATTTGCCGTGTTATTTTGGAGTACTGGTGCTTCTATTTTATCGACGCAATCGCAGATTTAATTTATCACAATTAAATGAATGAAGCAACCATTTCAAATAAGTATATCAATCATGGATTGGATAATTTATTCAACAGAAAAACCATTACATATCCGTTGAAAAAGTTAGCTCTTTTAACGACTGGTGTAATCTCGGGGAGCCGTACCGCGGGGATTTCGTTCCGATGAATATGTATTTTTCATCTACTAATATACTTTACATGTATTTTAATTGTACTATATTAAATATACTTTCTGGGATATTATATCAGATCTTTCTAATGACGACAACGAATTCGCATGAGTGCAATATATATATGAACTAAATTTAATCTGGCAGTTGATCACACTTTATTATGTCCGCGGATTGGCGTGGTATTTTAGATAGGTAATGAGTTTATTTTGTCGTGAGTCGCCGCAACTGCGAGTTACCTTGAACACAAATGAATTAAAATAGAGAGGCATTTCGAATTATTGTAGTTATTACGAGACAGAAAAATTAAAATAACACGAAAAAGCCGGTACTTTTAACGAACGCGGAGACCGTTTCAGGAGCCGTTACGTATATATTTCTGACCTGTCCCAAGCCCCCCCTCGCGCCCCCCAGTTTAAGCATCTCGCGCCTCCCAGTTTAAGAACCACTGGTTTAAAAGAATTGCGGAAATTTAATTACTGGACATTTACTTTATTTATTATAAATGATAATACGTAAGAAACTATCCCCTGAAGGCATGACATTCGTCTCGACCATTCTATATAATAAATATTTCTTTAATATTATTCATTTACTGGCAACGACTAACATACCGTTCATTGGACTGAACGTGCTAATATATTCTTCTCGTGTAGTCTAATAAAACAAGGAAAAGGTTGGTGACTTTGTTACTATTCATGGTCTGCTCCAACTGAGTCAGAGAGAATTGTGTGCTGGGTTAAACTCTATTCAACCGAGAGTTGGTGCTTTTACCCAAGCTCTATTTGGGATTGCTTTTAAGATAACAAGCCTCCTTTACATGCTTTTAATATGAAAGGGGTTAAATACATTAAAATCCATGGTTACACAATGCACATTCGCTACAATACCATACCAATGTTATACATCTTCTATAGCTTTTTCTCCGTGTCATGGGCTGTTTCGAAGTCTAGGAAAATACCAGGTACTTGGTAAAGCTTTATATATGTCAGGTGTAGCCAACCTGCTTTCGACCGCGATCGACTAAATCTTCAAAAAATCTTGCGATCGACTGATCGGTAATAAGGTCATACACAAAAACGAATGGATATACTGAATATGTAGATAACTGCACACGCACATACCACCGCTGGCATACTGCGGAAGTTATTGTAGGATCGTTTATATTTCTATACAAGCGATATTCGGCACTTCATTTTTAAACTTTGGCACGATAAAAATTGGCATTTGTTACGTGATAATATGCTTTATCGGGCTCGTCCAGACTTAAATACTGTGTGTATTGTATTTTGCGCAGTGGCGTAGCAAGACTCTCGCGGGCCCCCCCCCGCAAAAATATTTCGTCAAAAAGCATAACATGTCGCTATAAAAAGGCTATGGTAACCTAAATATTGCGCTTTCGTGTTAGCAAACTCATCCACCATCTTCGTCATATCAATTTTTTCAATTTGCTTCAAAAATCAGTAGCTTAACTGTGATAATTGTCGTGTAAGTTTTGGAGGAAAATTCATTCACGCCGGCGCCATCACTTTTGGAGATTGAACACGCATCTGGTTTTCTTCCGATACCACCAGTGCTAGGCTTAATTCCTCCTCAGTTACGTTCGGTATTCCCAAGTCTAATTGTTTCGATTTTGGTTTAAATATTTCGTTTATCTTGGTTACTTAAATAATTTTTTCATACGTTCTTCCCCTTCTGCCTTTTTTCTTCGCTGCTGTGAGCCACTGAGAGTTTTTTGCTTTCGACATCATTCTGACAGCCTTCGTAATTGTGCCGGTGCGATCAAACCATAATTATGATCAAACCACACGACGACGAAAATCGACGACTCCGGCATTGTTACGTAACAAAACGATTTGAGCAGAACTAACATCAAATAAGACGTGCATTAATACTTTTGCAATGCAGCTTTTGGTTTTGCGGCCTAAATTTCTAAATTTTAACCGCTTGGGGCCCGTTTTTTGCTGTAAGCGACCGCGGGGAATTCACTCAACATCAGACGCGATCGACTGCTCGAGACGTGGCAGCAAACATCGTTCCACAAAAAGCCGCATTAGCTGTCTTATATCAATAAGTTGAATGATCCGTTCCAGTACTCTATCCCATTTTCTCGCTTTTGTCACTGTACATTTGTAAGTATTTTCATTTATTCTCCCACACCCACAAAATCCGACACCGGTGATATTGTAAAACATAAATGTTTGATTATTTATTTATTATAAGCTTGTACGAGTAGAACCTATATTCAGTATTGTTCTCAGCGGAACAAACATTCCTAAAGAACGATCTACGGTAGGTTGTTATATATGAGCCTTTGAAGTCAACAGTCAACACCGAATCACTACTAATAATTTCGAACGCTCCATTTCTATCTTTGAATACTTTATACGCCACTAATTATTTTCTCAAATTTTCAGAGATAGATTACGTACCCCTGTCAACGTATTTGGGGATTGTGTTGGAGCAGCAATTGTATATTACAAGAATATAAAACAGTTTCACAAGTTGAATGACATTAGAGATGCACATAGCAATGGTCCAACAGAGCTGTCGCCATTGCAAAACGGCCGGGTGAACGAAGAGACCTGTTTACTGCGCAATACTTAATGGACAGAATTCTGTGAAACTGCAAGTATCGGTGGATAAAACAATTACTCAATGAATTGAATGGAAAAACAAATTTTTATATATATTGAAATCATTCCACGTCACCAATTGTATGGGATATAGCCGACAAATATTAGTAAGGCGGCATACATTATTGCAGACTTGGAAACTATTTATTTAAGAAATCAGCTTTTAACCCGAAGGATTCAATAAAAAGAAGTGTAGAGGACCTTACATTAGCATGGACTTATTTTTTCACTAATTTCAACTATAAGCTCAACTTGATAAATAGATTTGTCATTGTCACACGGTGCATATATTGAATTTAATGAAATTGCTTGATTAAACCAATGTATCCAATTATTTTTGATAAATATTGCTACTTCGTCATCCTAGTATCGATGGCAACAGATTATCACAAGCCTGTATATCATCATTATACCCTACAAAGTCTTTTATATAGAGACACAGCAATAGAACCGCCTTTGAGTGAATATTTTGTTCCAACATACTTAGATATTTATACGTATACAATCAATAACTAATACAAGTATATGTGGTTTCTGGTGACCGTACATTTGAACCCATGTACATTTGAACCCATGTGTATATCCGCGGGTTCAATCAATATGCGGGTGCTAAAACCCATGGGTTAGGTTAGTATGGGTACAAATATCCGTAAAACCAAAAAAAAAATCCATAGGTGCAATGGCATGCAGGTGCAATTGTCGTGGGTTCAAATGTACGTGGGTTCAAATGTAATGGAACCGTGGTTTCTCTTTGCCATCTCAGCTGTAATTCTTGTCTTAGCAGCCAAATGTCTGTAATATCAAAAGTTCAAAAAAATACTAAATATAGAAACAGTCAATCGTAACTGTATGGCTTCATCTTTTGCATCGGGGTTGTCAACAAGTTGCTTCAATTTTTCTCCAAATACATCAAGAGGAGCTTTATCCGGTTCAAACGTTGCGTGAAATCTCCGATTTAGAGGAACCCGAAACATAATATTTTTCATATCCTCCAGAGTGACAGCAAGTTCCGTATCAATGTCTTTACCACGGTGCTTATTAAATCCCACAACTGATTCGTATAGGTCACTGTATCTCAGTGCCCATTGGGAAGCTGGATGGTCGATGTCAATTTGGTATTGCCTAGTTGGAGACAGATAATATTTTTCTAATACGTTCGTCGCAGAAACGAAGGGAATTTCACAATCTTCTGCTTTTTTGGCCCAAAGTTGGGTATAATCTGTTCCGGATAGCGCAATAAGCCCACTACTTTTTAAAACTCTTTTGCATTCTTTCATAAACGTTTCAAAATTCATATAATGAACGACATCGTGACAGATGACTAGATCAACAGATTTATCTGGAGTTGGAATATTGTATTCATCAGCAACATGAAAAGTCATTTTCGTATCTCCATCTCCCCACAATTTTTTTGCCTTGTCTATTTGAAATTCACTGTTATCGTAACCTACCAGAGAACGAAAGTACTTCAAAAATGGTTTTGAAGATTCGCCTGTTCCGCAACCAGCATCCACCATTAAGTCAAATAAATCATTCTCGTTATCTTTATTGAGTTTTTTCAACTTTTTGATAACATACTTCGCTACTGACTGAGGAAATTTTAATGCAAACTGACTATAAATATCAGATGAATTTTCGGATTTATAATCGTCCATGATTCCGGTCTCGTTATATAATTTTATTACTATCGCTGTAAGCAAAATAGAACGGTCTCGTCATTAATACTAAAACCGAGAGACCTCATTTATTATATGGGTAAATTCGCAAGCTGCAGCTGACGTGCTGAAACAGATAATTGGCGAGAATCAGCTACCGATACGTTACATCGGGTTCAAGATTGTCATCGGAACAGACATTTATCCTTCATAAGTCTATAAAACTGTAGTTAAAGGGAAATCTTAGAAGTGAAATCGGCTCTATTATATATAATACTTTAGTACATCTTGGTATCTATTGCAAATCTACAATCTTGAAGGTTTATCAAAAATATTCGTTGCTATCCTCAACATGGACCTTTTGCCGAATATCGACTTCCTTGTTTACTTCGTGACATTGGCCAATCAGCAGAATGCGAAAATGACGTAACAATGCTTCCTTTTAGCATCCACTCAGACACTTTTCTCACTCAGACAGATACTCAAGCGTGGTCGTAAACATTACCTCGTTTTCGCGTTTTTGAACTCTATTATTTCGTTTTCAGTCGTGTTTCGGAAACTTAAATATAAATCAGATAATTCAATGATCACCCTGTCTTCCTAGGAGTTTTAATTTAATTGCAGTAATAAAAAATAAGTATAGAAATAGTTGTGATAGACTAGGCTAAAATTCTTTACCGGTACTTTTAAAAAAACAGATTGTTGTATGCGATGAATCATAATGATGGTTTGAAACACATATCCCATTTTACTGGCGCCAACTCGCAAAAGAACTATTAAAATAGCCCCGAATTTTGCAATGGTAAAGTATAGGAAGAATTTTTCGGGGGTCAAAGGTCGGGTAAAGGTCCATATTGGCTGTGGTAAGTTCCTGTTAGCCAAACAAGAGGAAATTAGGGGTTTTAAGTATGTCATGCGTTAGAATCGGTACAACTCATAACCACTCATTCTAATCAATATATCATCTTCGCATGAAACCTTAAGTTTTCATTGGTGCAAAGTCAGTAATTCTGCTATACTACATACAAACTATACCTGTATATGCTTCACTGTTACGCCACTTGTGAATTCAGTACCATGAATCCATGATACTTTGATATGGTTAACGCAAATAGAACTGAATTTCAGTTGCTGTTAGAATTTTGTTAATCTGTGCTCCTATTTGCAATTGATGTGCTAGGCATGCTTCCTCAGTACAGTACTGTATATATTTCTGTGCATTATCAGGCAACGACAGTATAAACCAGGTGTAGCCAACCTGCTTTCGACCGCGATCGACTAAATCTTTAAATTATATTGCGATCGACTGATCGGTAATAAAGTCATACACAATAACGAATGGATATACTGAATATGTAGATAACGGCACACGCGCATACTACCGCCTGGCATATTGCGGAAGTTATTGTAGGATCGTTTGTAAGTCTAGACACGCTGACGCGATATTCGGCACTTCCTTTTCTAAACTTTGCAGGGAAAAAACTGGCATTTGTTACGTAATAATATGCTTTATCGGGCCCGTCCAGACTCAAATATCTTGTATGTGTATATTGTATTATGCGCCTGTAATGTACTGTATTCTTCCTGTTGTAAAACACACAACTAGTTCGAGGCAGTTTTTGGAGGTATTTCAATAAAATTCACTCAACATCAGAATTTTAGATATGCATCGATCGTAGATTACCTCCAACCAAAACCGCTTTGTTCTCTATACTATATTCCATTTATTTTTTCGATAAACCGCCGTCGATCTATCATTCTTTCCAATACCTTGCATACATTAAAATAAAAATGAAACGCCTGTAACGATAGTTTTCACCAAACTTTAATTTTTTTTTATTTGTCGTTAGTTTACTATCAATGGCTAAACAACAGTTTATTCAAGAAAATGAAAAAATATTGCTGTTGTGTGTTGTAGCTTACTCATTTCTAAAAAAAAAAACAGTCCCGAATAAAGCCAAAAATATCCCACCGTAAAATCGCCTTATTTTTCGCACGTATAATACACCGTGTAAGTTGTCAAATGAAGCTATATTCACAATTAGTCTTTAACATCTGTTCTTACATTTAGCCCACGTAAATTTTATGCCATGTCACTCTCCTCAATAGGTATTTCTGAAAGTAGGATGGTCTTTCCACCAACAATGAATGCGGGATTGCTTATAACTATCTCCCATGTGGTAGCTTCAGATATATTTGTCTTCATCTTCAGATCTTTGTCATCTTCCGGTACGTGGACGTATTTGTTGTTGCATTGAAATAGAACTCCCGATCCCGATTGGATAGATAGAAAATTTCTGGGTTAAATGAAAAATTTCTTTTTCACAAAAATGATCCATACTTTTACTATTTGTTAATTAGTTAATTACCGGCAAAATATGAATACCTACGCATATTACTGGGTTCAAAAATTAGGTCTTGAGTGATGTGACAAAGTCCCGACACAAACTGAAGAATGTGACCAGCGCTGGGTATAACCGTCCAGTTTTCTGTGGCACTGGTCTGTATTTGTTGAAGATGGTGAAAATCAATAGGACCAGAAGATTTCCATTTCTTGGATTCACTTCCATGTTTAATCTGTGCCGTATAACTTGACGGTAGGCTGAAAAAGAAACATTATATTCATACTTTGAACAAAGCCAATATAGATGAACGAAATGTAAATTATTCTATGCTGCTCCAACATTATGTGTTGTTATTTGCGTCGAGTATTCAGATTAAGGACGTCGTGGTGTTTCGTTCAACATGTCATAGGTTAAAAAGAAATATATATATATCTTGCTGCACACGAACACAAATATATTTCTGTAACGTTTCGTCTGACCGAGGTCAGACTTCTTCAGACAAGCATTTTACAACCATAACAAAAAACGCAATTGCATGCACATAAATATATATTGGTTTCAAATGTTGGGTCTGTTTGCGATAGAGAGATATAAATAAAATTGGGACAGTGCCAGAACAATAGGGAAGCTAAATTTGATTTAAAATCAATAGATACCCCACAGTGTAGTGAGTGAGCTCAATTTGCAATACTTGGCAAAGTCAAACTAATTATTAAGTAAAACTAAACAAGCAATAAACCTATGCTTTAATGTATTTTCTGCTTAAACGTTTACATAAGACACGTAAAATTTCAATTCAATTGTTGTCGCTAAGGCGTTTGCGATTGCATTTTGTTTAAATCTCCATTGTTTACGTCAGCGTGGCGTGTTATTTAGGCCCTAAAAATCTTGATTTCAGAGTTTATTCTTCCTAAATCCGAAATTTCCCTTTACATATTCTTGTGCCGCGAAGACGATTATAATTACTTTTTTTGTTCTCGAATGGAACCATGACACCTCTGAGGAAAACGAGTTAGTTTTTATTATAATCATCAGCGAGAAGAATAAAGAAGTGAATCCGTAACTAAAAATTTCTTTATTGTAAAAGAGGCATTATAAAATACTAAAAATAAAAGGGAAAACGCCATGAGTTTTGTTTTGGGGTGGACCGCGACAGATTGAAAACACTTGCTTAGACATTGAAAATCTCATAAATTCCTTTGCGTGCGGCACACCAGTAGTGTTCTAAAACTACAGACTTGATATAAATTTTACTCCGGAGCGGAGTAAGGGTTGCATGGACAGCCTATATTAGTGAAATTGGCAAGAATACAAATCAAAACAAAATGTAATCAACATTTTTATGGTTGCGGATTTGCCGTGTTATTTTGGAGTACTGGTGCTTCTATTTTATCGACGCAATCGCAGATTTAATTTATCACAATTAAATGAATGAAGCAACCATTTCAAATAAGTATATCAATCATGGATTGGATAATTTATTCAACAGAAAAACCATTACATATCCGTTGAAAAAGTTAGCTCTTTTAACGACTGGTGTAATCTCGGGGAGCCGTACCGCGGGGATTTCGTTCCGATGAATATGTATTTTTCATCTACTAATATACTTTACATGTATTTTAATTGTACTATATTAAATATACTTTCTGGGATATTATATCAGATCTTTCTAATGACGACAACGAATTCGCATGAGTGCAATATATATATGAACTAAATTTAATCTGGCAGTTGATCACACTTTATTATGTCCGCGGATTGGCGTGGTATTTTAGATAGGTAATGAGTTTATTTTGTCGTGAGTCGCCGCAACTGCGAGTTACCTTGAACACAAATGAATTAAAATAGAGAGGCATTTCGAATTATTGTAGTTATTACGAGACAGAAAAATTAAAATAACACGAAAAAGCCGGTACTTTTAACGAACGCGGAGACCGTTACGTATATATTTCTGACCTGTCCCAAGCCCCCCCTCGCGCCCCCCAGTTTAAGCATCTCGCGCCTCCCAGTTTAAGAACCACTGGTTTAAAAGAATTGCGGAAATTTAATTACTGGACATTTACTTTATTTATTATAAATGATAATACGTAAGAAACTATCCCCTGAAGGCATGACATTCGTCTCGACCATTCTATATAATAAATATTTCTTTAATATTATTCATTTACTGGCAACGACTAACATACCGTTCATTGGACTGAACGTGCTAATATATTCTTCTCGTGTAGTCTAATAAAACAAGGAAAAGGTTGGTGACTTTGTTACTATTCATGGTCTGCTCCATAACTGAGTCAGAGAGAATTGTGTGCTGGGTTAAACTCTATTCAACCGAGAGTTGGTGCTTTTACCCAAGCTCTATTTGGGATTGCTTTTAAGATAACAAGCCTCCTTTACATGCTTTTAATATGAAAGGGGTTAAATACATTAAAATCCATGGTTACACAATGCACATTCGCTACAATACCATACCAATGTTATACATCTTCTATAGCTTTTTCTCCGTGTCATGGGCTGTTTCGAAGTCTAGGAAAATACCAGGTACTTGGTAAAGCTTTATATATGTCAGGTGTAGCCAACCTGCTTTCGACCGCGATCGACTAAATCTTCAAAAAATCTTGCGATCGACTGATCGGTAATAAGGTCATACACAAAAACGAATGGATATACTGAATATGTAGATAACTGCACACGCACATACCACCGCTGGCATACTGCGGAAGTTATTGTAGGATCGTTTATATTTCTATACAAGCGATATTCGGCACTTCATTTTTAAACTTTGGCACGATAAAAATTGGCATTTGTTACGTGATAATATGCTTTATCGGGCTCGTCCAGACTTAAATACTGTGTGTATTGTATTTTGCGCAATGGCGTAGCAAGACTCTCGCGGGCCCCCCCCCGCAAAAATATTTCGTCAAAAAGCATAACATGTCGCTATAAAAAGGCTATGGTAACCTAAATATTGCGCTTTCGTGTTAGCAAACTCATC